TTTTAGAGTGTGTTGCCTGAATCTGTTGGCATTCTATACATGGCAAGAAAACCCGTGAGCTTCTGCCAGTGTCATCAAATTAAGATCAATTTCCAACATCACTTCTAAGTGCTATTTTAGAAGATGCTTGATCCCACTGAAACCACACTGATGGAAAGAGTAGGCAAAGTGACAGATGTAAAACTTATTGTTCTCCCTTCTTCCTCCTCTTTTGAGCTGCAATTTACCACTCAGCTAATAAATAGATGTGAGTTAAAATTAAAAACTGATGTTCATGTGCTTATCGATCCCACCCCCATCCTGTAACAGCTGCAGAATTTCCTCCTCCACTCTGCCATGTTCTTGCTGGGGTTTTCAGAGCTGCACAGTTTTTGTACCTACTCTGGGTATAATGAGTCAAATAATTAATAACTGGGGCTATGGCAAAATCTGAAAAATGCAACCAGTAGGTCCCCCCCTAAGGTGAGGGATTGGCTCAGACACTTGCCAGGACTGGAAACACCAGAGCAGAGAACAGGAGCTCCTCTAAACAAATATGGTATGTTCTTTCCTTACAAACAACAGTTCTTTGATTTAGTGCCATCAGGATTATGGTTGTGTAATCCTCACTTGTGTTTATATGGTTCCAAGATACTAAATACCATTTAAATGGAATGGTTTTAAGGGAATTCAGGAGAACAACCAAGGAAAGAACCCCAGTTTTACCATTTAACCACCCAAAGCAGACAGTTTCAGCCACAAACCTCCACTTACACCTCGTGTTTCACACAATCCCTGTCCTTCTCCAACAGCCTCCTGCTGAACACACCTGTCCAGAGGGATAGGGACATGTTTCAGGTTCCCCCTCAACTCTGAGGGAAAAGGACACTCTCTCCAAGTCTGCCTGCTGTGGGACATGCCCAAACCATGGGCTATCACTTGTTTGGACAGCAGAGGCTGCCTTGCTGATGGGTGTCACCTCCAGCACTGGTGAAGCTCCTTTTTCAGAAGAACATCTTTGAGCCCAGGTTATCCCGTGGCAGCCTGAATCTTTGCAGAGTTGGCTGCTTGGATGCCTCCCAGTGAGGGTGGTCTGAGCTCCAAAGCAAAGGTTCAGCTCTCCAGGCTGCAGAGCAGAGCTGTCTGCATAAGCACACCCACCAGGCCAGCTCAGCCCCCAGGAATGCCCTGCACCTCCCAGCTACAGGACACACAAACACCCTCCATGATCCTTCTGAAGGTGGGCACAGCACAGCAGTGGCCACAGGACTCCAAAGCCAGCCTAAGGCAAAGGGAAAGAGCTTGTTTGTAGCTCAAAGCAGCAAGATTTGGTGTTCTTTGCTTTCAAAGCCTGACCAAAATCTCTGCATTTACGCAGAGATCAAGTCCCCAGCTCTTCATCTTCCCAACTGAGCGAGTCAGATCCTGAACAGCTCTCTGAATTTCATGTGCCTGGTTGCTTGACACCTGTTTCCAGAGGCAAGCCAGAATATTCTTGCTGCTGTCTGGTAACTAGGCTGATTCTCAAATATAAAAAGCTGCTGGCTCAAAGTACACCCCACTCAAGGGGTGCACATCAGCACCCTGGCAATCAGCGCAGCACTTCACTCACGTTGCACAAGGCTCTTCCAATGCACGTTCTTCAATCACAGGTGCCTCAGGCAATCACAAAAAGATCTCCCAAATGACTCTCCTAAAATCAGACACCTAAATAACATGTATTAAAGCTGAGCTTGTCCCCTACACCAGCAACACCGCTCTGACCCTTTAAAATCAAAAGGGAATAAATGCCTCCAAGGCAATCTCTGCTGGAGACTCCTCATCTCAGCCACTGCAACAGCACCCAGGGCTGTAAGACCACATTGCTTAAGTGCTGTCCTCTGTCCTTCCTAAGCCCAGACCTCATTCCTGATGACAACCACGAACATTCCACACAGAAGGCAAGAGTGAACATCATAAAAACATCTGTGTGATCGAATGCTTCTTGTGAAGCCTCATGGCAGGGGAATACCACAACCTAACATCATCTGCAACGTGTCAGGATAGTAAATGACTGCTCAGATGACAGGATTCCCTGTGGTGAATCGAGCTTATGCCAGATGTGAGTCTAGAGCTCACTGGTACAACTGCTGACTGTGAATAAAGATTTGGCATTGCTCTGTGGGCCCATTACCCAAGACCTCTTCCCCCAGCTCAGCCTGACTGGAGATCTTTAATGGAAACCAGGTTTCATCTCATGGCTGCTCATTGACAGCAGCTGATATTTTTCAGCACAGCTCTCCTCTCCACGTTCATTATAAACAACAGAGAACAGCCACAGACCTACAGAAAAGGCACCCCAGTTATTTGAGGACAGACTTTGAGACCTAAGAATGCATTTCAATGTACACTGACATTACCAAGGAATTCCCATACAGCTAAGAGACCTGTCTGCCACTCAAGAGGGCAGCAGGAAGCATAAATCACAAAGCCACTAGGTCAGCTCTTACACCTCACATTCCCACTGCCTACTTATGGGGCCAGACTTCTGCCCAGCAGAAGGAACTCATTAAACAAGTTTTCAAATACGGCAGAGAAAGAAGTATAGTGTTCTGCCTGTAGAAAAGGTCCTTATCCTTCCTGAAAAAATATAAGCTAGCTGCTAGAAAATAGAAAAGTACTAGAGCCAGAGCAATGACTACTTAATTTTCAGCTTCTTCTATCAGAAGACTGGTGATCACAGAATGGTTTGGGTTAAAAGGGACCTTAATGATCATCTTATTCCACCCTTTGCCATGGGCAAGGACACCTCTCACTATGCCAGGCTGCTCAGAGCCACATCCAACCTCTTCTAGAACACTTCCAGAGATCCAGGGGCAGCCACAGTTCTCTGCACAACCTGTTGAAGTGCCTCACCACACTCATAAATCACTCTAATTACTGCCCATAAACAAGAAAGTTAATTTTGCTTGAAGCAGTAAAATGAAAATTCATGCAAAGTCTCAGTAAATAACTCAGGGAGATTAAAGGTCTTCTCAAGAGATTTCTGTGACTGCATTTCCAGCACTGCTCAAATCCAAACAATTGGTAACATAAAGCAAAAAAACCCTTCCCACCCTCCCAACACTGTTGTACGTGGGATAATCTTTAGAGGACTCTAATTGAGGCTCTTTTCAATCACCCCATCCACAGATTTTATTTTTTTTTTTAGCAGATTAAGCCAAAAATAAAAATACCTTTCAATTACAGCATTGCAAGCTAAAACCACTGAGACACCTCCCTCCCCCCCAACAGCAAAGAGCTATCTAAAAGCTTCCTTTCTAGTCTGGGTTTTTTTGACACATTTTTTAACAATTTTTTGCAGTGAGGTGGTTTGAGGTGGTGTAGTTGCTCTCCTCTGCCTTTTGGGGAAGAGCTGACAGCAAGGAACAGCAGGAAGGCTTTTCTTCACTGGAGCTGTGAGTGATTAACTCCCCAGTTTTGTCAGGGGAATGACAGCAGCGCTGAAGACACCGAGTGCAGTGCTCAGTGTCACAGGCACAGGACACAGCTCTGCGCCAGCAAAACATCTCCCAGCTCCAGGGGTTTGCCAGGAACACAGCTCTGTCAGGCACAAACAAATGCACTGTGGATAAAGAACCCCTGTGCTGGTAGCAGGGAGGATCTTTATCTTCACTAGGTCTTTTTAAATCCAAAAGGCAATCAGTCTTAATTCAAATTTTGAAAGGTAATTACTGAGCAAATACAACCCAGCACAAAGCTGTGACAAGAATGCCTTGTACAGTTGCAGCAGGCACAGCAGTTCCACCCAAATATTACTCCTCTCCATAAGATTTTCCCCCAAATTAAAAATTTAAAGAGTGGAATAGTGCTGCTGCATCTCACAGCACACTTCAGCTAGCCTGGGCAGCAAAGTCACAGTGGCTGAAAAAAATAAAAAAAAAAGCAACAAAAAGCCAAACCCACACTGCATAAACTCCATCCAGGTGATGGAAATACATCAGCAGCAAAGGAGAGGTCCTGAAGAGATCGCTGTAGGCAGCAGCCATGAGGATTTCCTCTGCTCTCCCCACCTGGCATGACCTGAAAGCCAAAATGTGAGCCGCTCCTCACAAATCCCTGCACCACAGACCAGGCTGCTCCTGCTTTTCATCTCCGCTTTACACCTCGTGGAAAACCACAGCTGAGTGTAACACCTGCACAGCAAACAATCACAGCTTATCCGGTGCGGTGTCACTCTCAATTTTGCTTCTAAAAAAAGGAAAATCCCATTTGTTAATGGAGTAGCAGGTGTTTTGTAACAAACAGCCTCCAAAAATAGGTGCTGGGTAAGGCATAGTTACAGGTACCTCTGCTGATTCCCAAAGAATGAGCTGCGCTAGAAAATGTGGGATCTCTCAGCTGAACCTAACGAGTCATTCTGTCAATACCTTCAACTAAAAAAAAAAATTCTAGAAAAAAAAAAAAAAAAAAAAAAAAAAAACCAAGAAAAAAGAAAGAGAAGGGCAAGCAAATAAACCCACAAGTGTAAAATTTCAAGGGTACAAGTGATCCTTACATGTTTGGCACTATTTACATTTTTTCCCCTAGACTGTAATCCTTCTCAGGACACTACTTACAAAGTTTACATCAGCACCCAACCACAAACAGGGAAGCTTTTTCCATGAGCTCTAGCAGGCAACTTTCCCACAACTTATTAAATCCTCCCTTTTATACGGGAAAGCGCCGGGTAGAGATGAGAAATTATCGGCGATTTTTAATTAGGAACGTCCACCGGCGTGCCTGGCCCTTCAAAGGGCAAACCCAGCACCTTGCCTTCTGCTCTGCAGGCACGCACCCACACACACACACCTGAGGGGACGCGTTTATCAGGGATTGAGAGGAGATGCTGAGACCCCGCTCCCAGGACCTCCGGAGCGTCCCCGCCTTCCCAGCCCGGGACGCGCCTCTCCCCCCCCGGCTGCCCGCAGAGAGGCGAAGGTGACATTGCCCCTGCGGGGGTCCCGTGGCCGGCGCCCCCCGCCCCGCTCCGCCCGGCTCACCTTGCTCATGTCGCGACAGTGACAGTGGCAGCGGCCCCGCCGGCGCTCAGCTCCCGCCGCCTCGCGACGCCCGTTAAGAAGCNAAGAAGCGGCGCCGCGCGCCCGGCCCGGCCCGCGCCAGCCAATCAGAGCGGCGCGCGCGCGGGCCCCACCCAATCCCCGCGCTCCCCTCATCCCGAGAGCGCGCGGCGCCCCCTGGCGGCTCTCGCGGCCCTCAACGGCCCTCAACGGCCCTCACGGCCGGGAGCGCTTCCCGCGTCCTTCTCCTCATCATCCTCCTCCTCTATTTCCTTATCTTCCTCCTTTCCTTCCTCCTTTCCTTCCTCCTTTCCCTCCTCTTCCTCCTCCTCCCCTTTCCCCACTCACTTTCTCCGAGTGCCCGGCACCACGCGCGCCACTTTAGGGCGGCTTCGGGCATCCCCACGGGAAGGGTCCGGCTCTAGATGTGCTGGAGGCAGCCTGGGAATGGGGAATTATTGTGGCAGATCCGATGAATAAATTAAACTAGGAACTTTTTTTTTATTTTTTTTTTTTTGTTTTTGTTACAGTGAGGGTGGTGAGGCGCTGGAACAGGTTGGCTGTGGGTGCCTCAAGCCTGGCAGTGTTCAAAGCCAGGTTGGAGCCCTGAGCAGCCTGGAGTGGTGGAAAGTGTTCCATGGCAGAGGAGTTGGGGAAAAAATGATCTTTAAGGTCCTTTCCTAATCCCTTAACATTCTGCGATCCTATAAACCAGGCAGAGAATCACTGCTCTGCTCACCCCTGGCTTTCCTCTCTGTCTCATCAGTCTTGCTGCCATTCCTTGTTAAAACATACAGCATTTCTTCCACAGATACATGGAAAACAGCACTTTCTATCATTTCTCTGGTTAATTAAAGCAAGACTTTGGGATGTGTGCTGCTGTGCTCCAGCATCTGTCTTTTGATGGAGCACAATCGCTATGTTTGGCACTACACAGATGCTCTGACTCACATATCTGTGAAGAAATATATGTTCAATTAGTTCCGGGAACGCACTTAACTCCCTCAAATTTTTTTCAAATCAATAAAAAAGTTAAAATATTATATTGGAGAGCCCAAGAAGCTTGACAAGCCCTCCCACTTCCAGGGGCTATCTTGCAGCAGCCTCTTCACCAACATCTGTTTTCAGGGACAGTATTAACAGAGACAGGGAAATAAATTTGATGAGAAACAACGTTTTCCTTGGAGGTGGAGAGGCAGGAGGGGCTGGGATCCTTCACCTGAGGATGAGGAGGCTCCCTGGGGAGTGGAACAAGGGGTGTGTATCCTGGAAATATTTTAGGGATGCTGGCCAAATATGCAGGGATGGGATCAAGAAAGCTGAAGCAGAATTGGAGCTGATTTTGGCAAGGGATGTGAAAAACAATAAGGGCTTCTACAAGTGTGTTGGCCAGAAAACGAGGAGGAAAGAAATTTACCCTCCTGGGAAGCAAAACAGGAAATCTGAGGTACTGAACACAACTTTTGCCTCTTTCATTATACCACTATTCCCAGGACTTCCACCTGCATCTGGCATTTTTTTAAATTGACATGAATTATCCCAGTTTTTGTTGTGAGTGACCTCAGCAAGCAACAAACATGGTAAGAGTTCATTGCATGAACAGCTTCAGGAGCTGCCCTGTGAGGAGCCAAAATAAAGATGATGAAGTTTGCCCCTGAAGAAGCTGTATTTCATGTGAGACCGTTTTCCAGTGAAGAGCAATTGTGGGTGTATTGCATTAGTATTCCTGCTCTGACAGGAGTGCCACTGGTCTGCCAGCTTATGGATACAAAGCACAATGCTAACATAAATTATTAACAGAGTATTGCTGATCAAAGGGCTCCCAATCACATGGGAAGAGATACAGACCGCTGAGAGGAAATCTGTTCAGGTCCCTTTGACTCTGAGGAATAACTTCAGTCTCACTCTTCACCATCAGAATAAATGTGTCAAATCCAAGCAGAAAATCTCCTGGTGATAAGTCAGGCTGTGTGCCCCAAGAAGCAGGTTAGCAGAGAAGGCTCTTTGCACTAGATGCTATAGGAGAACATAGAAAATTCTTATTTTCTTACCTGTTTGGAGGAGTTCACAGCTTCCAGGACAGGCACTGTGGAGGGCATGCTGAGCTGTATCTTGGAGGTGGCACTCAGGAAACAAAATACCAAGCCTGGTGTCTCTTCTAGGGGAACAATGCTGATGGTGGTGACAGTGCTGTCCATGCAGTGACTCTACTCTGAGGACAGCTTGCACATTTTGTGACATGCAGTTACAGTATGAGATGCATTATCTGCCCTCAGACAGGTTCCTGAGTGAGCACAGAACTCCCCTCTCCCAGAAAAAGCCTTGGACCTGCAGAGATGGAGCTGTTTTCTCTCTCCTTCTAAATCTTGTTCCCTGCCTCCCAGCTTTGCATGTCATACCCTGCAGAAAATTTCCATAGCCAGGCAAAGCAATCCAGATATGAACTTTGGGCTGAAATGCTCTGTGCCTCTCATACTTCTCTCTCTGCTGAACTTAATTGTTCTTCAATTAACAAACACAGACACACAGATGCCTCCAAATCTTGGGTCTAACCATCTTAAATGGACAAATCCCGAGTTCTGGAAATGCAGCAGCAACTTGAGCTTTCCAAAATGTTCTTACAATAAAGGTAACTCTGGTAGTTGTTTTATTTATACCCTGTCATTTATGCTGTCTGATGGCTCCACATTTTAGTTTTGAGGTACCCCTTTCCCTGTCAGCCTTTGTAACCCATGGCAATCCCTCAGTTGAAAGGTGTCCCAAAGTTCTGCTTTTACTTAAATGCACAGCTAAGTAGTAGCACTTCTAAGTAGAGAAAATATTCTATGCAATCTATTTTCAAGAGCCATTATATTCTGAAAATTGACTATTAAAATACCACCTTCTTATTCATCAAGTCTGCACTCAGTGTGTGTTCAATCTTGTCTGCTGGCATATGACTGCAATTTTACTGCCTTTTACTCCCACTTACCTGAGAGATACAGCAGAGAGAAGAGAATCTGAGCTGGGTGTTGGAACAGAAAGGCTCTCAGGCTTCCAAGAAGCTTCACCTGCTTAAGGGGACTGAAGATGACTCTTCTGTGCCAGACTGAACAATCCATAATTGGAGAAGCGTGTGCTAAAGTCATGGAGTGATTTCAGTAAGATCATCTTGTTCCAAATCCCTGACATGGACAGAGAATCTTCCATTAAATCAGCTTGCTCAGAGCCCCATAGAGCTTTCAATTCCAGAGATGGGGAGTCCACAGCCTCTTGGGCAACTTGTGCCCAGACCTCACCACCCTCACAGGAAAGAATTTCTTCCCAATATCCCATCCATCCCTGCCCTCTGCCAGTTTGAATTCATTCCCCCTTCTCCTGTCACTACATGTGAAAAATCCATCTCCAGCTCTCTCAGAGCCCCTTTAGGCCCTGGAAAGAGGCTCTACAGTCTTTTCTTCAGGCTGAACAGCCCCAGCTTTCTCAGCCTTTCCTCACAGGACAGGTGCCCCTCTGGTGCTGTACTTGTATAAGGGGAGAGCTAATTGTGTGCTCAGTCTTTGTCACTGACAGCAACACACGACTGCAAAGTCTTGCTTTGTTTTCAATCCCACCACTGAAGGTGTCTGCAGAGTGAAGTGGTTTGATCAGAAGCACAGAATTGCTCTGGAAGAGACAGAATCCCAGGATCCTGAGGCTGGAAAAGCCCTCGCAGCCCATGGAGTCCCAGCTGTGGCCGATGCCCACCTTGTCCCCAGCCCAGAGCCCTGAGTGCCACCTCCAGGTGACACCTGCAGGGATGGGCACTGCAAAGCTCCCTGGGCAGCCCCTGCCAAGGCATGAGCTCCCTTTCCATGGGCAAATTCCTGCTGCTGCCCACCCTGAGCCTCCCCTGGCCCAGCCTGAGGCCGTTCCCTCTTATCCTGTCACTTGTCACCTGACCCTCTCCAGGCTCCAAACTCCTTTCAGGAGGTACCACAGAGGTCTGGGGAAGGTGTCTCCTCAGGCTGCTGTATTTTTTAGTCAAAATTTGATTAAAATCAAATCCAAAAAGATCAAAAAGAAAACACGGCTCTGCCTTGAACAGCATTCCACATTCCATCAGAGCAGAACTGCTCTGTTTGGTAGAATATATTTGAATTTTGACTGTGACTGCAAAAACTGGAGTTTCCCAGCACTTGAAATGGGTACAGTGAACTGAAACCTCTGCCTCTTGCTGGCTTTATACTCTATGCATTTTTAAAGAGAAGGAACAATTTCACACAAACTTTCTACAAAAGAAAAAAGTCCATGTTGAAGCTGAAATCAAAGATGTTGATTTCAAATGGAAAGCTTTTGTTTCAGAAAGATGTGTGCCTTTGAATCCTAGAAAACAGGAGAGGATCTGAACACAACCTTAATCACAGAGAATATGCTGTGATTATAGGCTTTGGTAGCAATAGATTTAACAAGCATAGCCTCAGATGCTGGATGATGGATGACTGGTCATCTCAGACATATCAGCTAATTTACCCAAGAAAAAATCTAAAGAGACAGTTTCCACAGCTGAACTCCCATTAGTGTGCCTTCTTACCTTTTAATTAAGGAGCTAATGGCTGTGGGTAGTTAATCAACAAAATACCTTTAAAGATCTAGGCCTGAGGGTCCTTGTTACAACCTAACCTTTGTTCCCATGCAAGAGGAATGAGTCAATGGCTCCAACAAAATCTTATCGCTGTCGTTGTCACAAAGATATCAAATATAATTTGAAAAATTGAGTCTTTTCTCAGGAGAGTTACAAGACATGACTTACTGTATAGTGTGAGTCATCTTCCATCTGAAAAAAATACAGCCCAAAACCAATCACCCAAATATATGTGTCAATTCTTCTGCTGGGCCAAAGAGTTTTGATGGATTTAGTTTGGAGCTGTGTCCTTAACTTGGGTGTAAAGAAAGCCACTCTCAGTTTAAGCCCAAGTCCCTAAACTTTTGAAAGGCTGAAGAATGTTCTGGGGTTTGAGTCCTTGACTGGCTCAGCTCTGCAGAAGCCAGGGGATGTGAAGATGTGGAGCATTCAGATGTTACCTGGCGCTTACCTGT